CAAAAACCGCGATAGAGTGAAGCCGCGGAAGTCGAAGCGCGAAGTGGCGAGGGTTCACTGTACATCACTGTACAAGCTGTAAAGTTGTGAATTCAGTGAAGGCTTAAGGAGCAAATCAGTTTCCATCCAACAATTCACACACATTTTGTTTCAACTACAATCGTCACAATGTAACATCACTTGTCCCACTTCTCCAGTTTCCTGTTTCCATACATCCTTTCCTAATTCTGCCTCCCTTTTGAACTTTGTCTTTGGGTATATACTGTCCTTTTGATCTCAAATAGTCGAATATTTCAAGGAGTGCTTACTTCCCTGGAGTTTTTCTTCTCCGTATAGATCTGCTGTCTGCTGAACATTGAGCCATGGGGGTGAATTCAGTTTCAGGCTTGAAAGGTGTCTAATGGCTAGTCTCAAGAATTCCACCAGGCTTTATCCAACCAATCTTGGGAGTAAAACCTTATTGCTTTAATTCTTAAATTAAAATATTTTAAGTTCTGTGGTAGGCTGGGTTGACTAGAGAAACAAATCCAGTGACACTCATATGTGTTTAAGAAAGAACTTGATATCAAGGAGTAATTGTATATCAGGAAAACATCCCAGCAGAGTCCAACTCAAGTCTGTAAGTCTGATACTAGTCCATAAGTCCTTCTTCAGACTCATGCAGCCGCATGCAGTGATGCAGAATGCAGGAACATCACCAGCCAGTGGGTGTAAGGTCCTATGGATCCAGTGGCGGTGGCTATGGATCAGCCAGCAGGAAGGTGAAGTCAGAGAGAGAAGGGGAGGCTGGGGGGGGTGGGGCGGGTGGCTTTAGGAGAAGAGAACGCCCACAAGGAGGTTGTAACCTGATTGACAAGTTGAATACCAGCCCTATACTTTTATATATCTTCAAGTTGACATGAGATTATGTATCCACTACAAGTTCCAAAAGTGAATGTAAGTGATTGGATGTTTGATATTACAGTATAAACAAAACTGGCATGCTCTCTTTTTTTTATCCTCAGGACATTGTTAGACTTCATCATACAGGAACATTTTCCCTCTGTAGATGTCAAAGAACCTGATAGATAACGTGGTAAGTTTTAAAACAATACTTGGTTTTCTCTCACTGGCCACCATCCTTTGAGGTTACTATCATATTCACTGCAAAGAGAAACTGAGGCCAGGCCAGAGAGAAGGAAAAGAAGTTGATTCTGTACTTTTGGGTGAGATTTACGGCCTCCAGCAAGGAGTCAGTGAAGTCGGAAAGCAAGTTTTAAGCTGGTTAGGGAGGTAAACAATAAAGGGGGGGGGGGTAGAAGCTGCAGGTGGGCAAACAAGGAGGAAGGGAATAGGAGTTTCAGCTGCAGGGGCTTTAAGCTGTCTCCATCCATAAAATTCCCTAGGTCGGGTGGTGCCTTGATCGGTCAGCTGGGTACTGAGGAGATGGCTCATTGTTCTGGGGCCCTTTGAAGCTAGTCATCTTGGTCTGATAAGGGCAGGCAGGCTTTTCTTAATGTCCCCTAAGCAGTACCTGACCCAACATTCTAGCCTTTTGGTTGTTGTTTTTTTTTTAATTAAAAAAAATGTTTTTTTATTTTTAATTATTTTATTAGGGGCTCATACAACTCGTATCACAATCCATACACACATCAATTGTGTAAAGCGCATTTGTACATTCATTGCCCTCATCATTCTCAAAACATTTCCTCTCCATTTAACACGCCCCCCCC